AACTCGGGGTCGTTGTACAAAGTTGGTACTCTCCATTTCTCTGATCCTCCACCTCCATCAAGTTGCAGTGCCGTGAAAAGTTGGAGTAAGCTTCCTTGGATGGTAGGCAGTGTTTGTTCTAAAATATACAGGGCAGGAAGTCATGTGCAACTGTGTCCTTTGCAAGGGTGAGTTATAGAATAGTGTAGCCTGATAACGTTAAAAAAGATCTCCCAAACTGTAACAGGTTGGCAGAATTCAGCTAAATGGCTCAAACATTTATTAGTCTCCACTGTGTGCATAGAGCGCTGTGCTAAGTGCCAAGTTCAGCTGACGGTTCCATATAGAGCTAATAATCTACTATGCCCATTTGACACGTGTACCAGTAATTACCTATAGTATATTGTGGTAGATGATAATTGCATTAGAGAGATACTGGGCAAAGTGATAAGACAGAGAAGAGTTTTTAAGTTTTCCCCACTCTTAATAATATTAACAGCAAATATAATTGACCTACAGTGTTTCAAAGTTCATGAAGCATGTTATGTCCATTATACACTTTGAGCCTCACAACAACTCTGAGATGGTAGATACTATGGGTATTATCCCCATTTTACAGATGAAGTTAAGGCTCAGCAAGACTGACTCTAGGCCCATAGTCACATAGCTAGGATTTATAGCCAACTCTTCCTGACAGTGCCGCCTCATTTGTGTGTGTGACAGAGATGACAACCAATAGTGTGAGCAACCAAAATTTAAAAAATAGAGTCTGAAAGTCTCCTGCCCTCAGAATGTCCAGCCCATTTTCTTTTGAGGCCTTTGTTGTAAGTAATGGCTGTGGAAACCTTAATTTTGCATTTTTTTTCTGTGCTCCCCAAGGAAAAATCTCTTTCTCAACCTGACATTTAATTTCTTCTTCAGGGCTTAAAAGGAAAAAGTTGAATTTGTATGTTTAGAATGAACTGCCTGTTGATGGGTCAGATTTCAGGCTATCTCTAAATCTCCTTTTAAAAATAAAGCAGGGCCAGAATTCAGGTTCATTTAACAAGTGTTTATTAAGCATCTACTTTGTATTTTGTTGCTGGGAGGGGGGGAGGGGGAGGGGGGGGGGGATAGGTTATCTATAAAGTTTAGATAAGACTACCTCATAGGAATAATTTAATGGCAAATTGCATGAGAGGGATAAGTAAAATTATAAGTGAGGTTAAAAGTATGTGTGTGTGTGTGTGTGTGTGTTTACATGAGTTCATTATCTACTGGAGGAATCTGACTTTCTGGAGAAGGTTGTATTTCAACTTGAGATAGATATAAAAGGTGTAGGTGGGAATTAAATAGGACGGAAGGAGAAGAGAAGATACTCCAGGCCTGGGGAATAATAGCGTGAGCAAAGGCCCAAAAGTATGTGCAAGGGGTCCAAAGTATGGTGTGGCTATGATGTGGAGTATGTAGAGGATAGCAGTGTGAGAGGCATTTTGAAAAGGTAGTTGGTCCCAGGTATGGAAGGTTTTGATGCCAGGCAAAGAAGTTTCAGTTTACATGGTAAGTAATCGGGGACCATTTAGCAGTTCTGAGCAGGAATGATGTAGCTAGATTCAATTCAGTTCGGTTAGCACTTATTCAGTCTTTGCTATGTGTTAGGCACTGGGCATAAAAAGACAAAAAATAGTTTGTACCCTCAAGGAACTTAAATTTTACTGAAACCCATGGATAAAGCTTGTCTTTGCAGCCTGATGAAGGATTGGTTTAGAGGAGTGATAAAGAGTATAGGTAGAAAGATCTATTATGAGACTATAGCAGTAGGTCTGATAGGTGATAGTGAAGAGGCCCTGACAGTGGGCCTCATGGCAGTGGAAATAGAAAAGGGGATAGTTGTGAGAGATGGTGGAGATAGACTGGATAAGACTTTTCATTCGTTTATTCAATAAACATTTATGAAGCACTTGTGCTAAGTGCTGGGGATACAGAAAGAGGCAACAACCAGCCAAAATGCAAATAGATATGTACAAAGTAAGCTATTGACAAGATAAGTAGGAAATAATTAACAGGAGAAACTAAGAGAAGTTAGGGAAGCCTTCCTGTAGAAGGTGGATTTTAGGTGGGACTTAAATGAAGCCAGAGATGTCAGTAGTCCAAGTAGAGGAAGGAGAGTATGCCAGGCATGTGGGGGGTTGGGGGGGAAATAGGATTTAGTGGTCAGGGAAAGTTGAGAAAGTAGTGAAAAGTGAAAATCTAAGGGCCAAAGATAATGATCCTAAAAACTGGCAGTCCTAAAAACTGGCTGAAAGAGAAGTCAGTGGCCCCCAGAAAGCCAAGACAAGTGGTGTAATGGTCAGAACCCTGGGACTTAGGGAGTAAGAAAGGCCCAAGTTTGAATACTATATCGGACACTTGATAGCTGTCTGATTCTGGGCAAATCATTGAAATTGTCTCACTTTCTTCAGATTGGAAAATGGGGATGATAGTCCCAGCCTCCCAAAGTTGCTGTGAGAATCAGATGAGGAATTATATGTAAAGTACTTTGCAGTGCAAAGACCTGAAGATGGTAGAGAGATTGATGAGTTAAGGGGACAATTTGTAGGGAATTTGTAGGGACTGCATTTAGGGAGGTTTGTGAAGTGAGTCTAGAAAGGCAAGCAGGAGCCATACTTTAAGGTACTGGGGATCAGGTAAGAATTACAGATATATTTTCTTTAAAATAGCAAAGAGGTGGTGGCACTGGAAAATTTTGAAAAGGAAATTGAGAGAAAACCTCTTCTATGGTCTTCATTCTTCCCAGTAGAGTAGGAGGCACAGTCATAATTGGATGAGGACTAGGGAATGTAGTTGGATGAATAAAGAGTATAAAAGGTTTTGTAATAGTCACTGTGTTGAGGTGGCATAGTGGATAGAGTGTTTTGCCTGGAGTCGGGAAGACTCATCTTCCTGAGTCCAAATCTGGCCTCAGACACTAGCTGTGTGACCCTGGGCAAATCACTTGACCCTGTTTACCTCAGTTTCTCATTTGAAAAATGAGCTGGAGAAGGAAATGACAAACTATTCTAGTATCTTTGCCAAGAAAACCCTAAATGGGGTCACGGAGCATCAGACACGACTGAAACGAAACAACAATAATCACTGTGGGATATGAGATAGGGAGTAAGAGTTTGTGTTCAAAGGATTATACACTAGCAGTGCAGGCTTATCTGAGGTTACAAGGTTATGTTACTGTTAGTACAGTCTTTTTTGGGGGGAAGGAAGGGGGATTAGTTGCATCTTTGAGGGCCAGTGACTGCATTTCGTAGACTCACAGAAGTATCCTATCAGTCCTGACACTGTGGGATTTTGTGTGCTCCAGACAGCGACTTCTCTAGGGAGCACAGATTTAGAAGAGAGTTATGAATAAGTGAATATGAAAATAGAATGTCTCTTTGTTGGAAGCTGCCATTTTTTTCTTTGCTCTTCTGTGGAATTGAAACGGTTCTGCTTCTAGAGGCCCACTCACTTATATCTTCCTCCCTTAGGACACCACACCTGGGGAGTTGTGGGGAATATTCTTACATGAAAAATGAGCGTGCGTTACAAATATGTTTTGCTAGATACCTAATCCATTTTCTGAGTTATTTATGGAGAGCTTTCTGTCGCCATATAGTGCTTTAAGAAAGAGCTGCCTTTTAAATAATAGAATGGCAATTCATAGCTTCAGAGGAGTTCAAAAGCTTTGCTGACGTGATCTGATCCTTGGCACATCCTCCAATGTCGGTGGGGGGAGGGACAGAGAGGGTCTGCATCTGGAACTGATGCAGTCAGAGGATCTGGGTTCACATGGATCCTCAGATTTGCTATCTTCGTGACCTCAGGTATATCATCTAACCTCCTTGGGCCTTAGCTTCATTATCTGTAAAGTAAGGGGTTCCTCTGATTTCCAGCTGGAGATCTCTGATCCTGTGACCTAAATTTCCTAAACCTGCAGGAACCCACATCTCTAGCATTGAGTTCTCCTATTGCTAAGAGATGGATCTTGTCCTTGTGTGGACCAATTTTTTTCCAGGCCTGTTCCTTACCCAGAACACCTTCCTACTGCTTAATTTCCTCTCAGGATTAACATTTTTCTTAGTAAACTCTAGTAACTTGCCAAGGAAGGTCGCTGTGGTGATAATTTTCATGTCAAGGTTTTAAAATCTTTGTTTGGGGCCTGGCTAGTGGCAGGTGTCCAGTTGGTGAAGATCGTGTAGTTCTTTCCTTCTTAAGTTTCGTGTAACCTTTCATGCTTGCTTTGAACCAGGTCTCCATTTCTTGAAGTCCTGAAAGAGAGTGACTTTTTAAGCAGTGTGTGGTATTTTTGTGTTGCAGGTTAGTGGGTCAGAGAAGAAGAACTCTGGTCTGCCTGGAATCTCCTGGGTTTTCAGGGCGGTGAGTATTAAGTTTATTAATACTCAGCTCATCCTGTACTGTATACTGGATTGTGGTCAGATGGATGGCCAGCTAGGATAAGGTTTTGAGAAAATTTAAAGTCATCTGATTTTAAATTTCTGTAAAGAGGTTGCTAGACAGTCCTGGGTCCTAGAGCAAGGATTCTTATTTTTTTGTGTGTGTGATGGACCCCCTCTGAATGAATGAATAAAACATTTATTAAGTGCTTCCTGTATGCTAAGCTATTTTACAAAGCATGGGGAAATAAATCTAGAAAAGTAAGATAGTCTCTGCCTTTAAGGAGCTTACCTTCTAATGGAGGGGGACCACAGTTATTGAAGGATTCAGCTTTCAAGTCCAGTGGAAAAGTTTCATGGTCCTCAGGGTGCAGCAGCTAAGCACATGTTAGTGCTTTTTCTTTAATACCATTTCCACTGATAAAATGATACTATTTCTATTGGACAATGCCAAGCACTCTGGAGGCAAGAACTTTGTTTTCCAGGTCTTTAGTAGTAGATCCTTTTTCAAAGGCTAATGTTTTTAAATGCATAGCAATTATGTTGAAATGCAATTCTCCAAATATTTAAAAAGTTCACCCTAGTTTCGGGTTTTTTCTCTAGGCTCAGGTAAGTCCCCTTTGTTAGTGGGTTACAGTATTTCTCCATTAATATTTTTGTGAAAGATTGCCATATAGTGGAAGCCAAATACATCTTTAGGTTTTCTGATTTGGATTTTCAAATGTATTACTGAGAATGAGAATAATAATAATAGCTAGCGCTTTACATTCTGCAAAGCACTTACATGTAATAGCTCGTTTTGGTCTCACAACAACAACCTTAGGAGGTTGGTGCTATTACCCATTTTCTAGGATGAGGAAAGTGAGACAGAAAAGTTCATTGACTTGCCTGAGATCAGATAGCTATTAAGTGTCTGAGGCAAGATTCACACTCAGGCCTTCCTGACTCAAGTTCCAGGGTTCTGTCCATTATACCACCTGTCTTGGCTTTCTGGGGCCACTGGCTTCTCTTTGAGCCAGTTTTGGGAACCATTATCTTTGGCCCCTGGATTTTTACTTTTCACTATTTTTTAAACCTTCCCTGACCAATGAATCCTAATTCAAGCCATTGAGTGTCTTGAAATATCTGGTCCCTGAGCATTGCAATTTACCATACATGATCACTCATTATACTTCTCTTTTTTTACTGCCACCATAACTGGTCCCTCTTTCCATCTACTCCTTGCTGACACATCATCATAAAGGCTCATGGATCTTACAGATTATTTAATCCAGCCCACTCCTTTTATAGATGTGGAGAGTGAGACCCCAAACATTCAAGTGACTAGCCCAAGGTCTTGCATGTATTAAAATTAAGAATTTATTACAATTTTTATAACTACAAATTTTAAACATACAATAAATTTACGTAGCACACACTGATATTGTTGATAAAATGTGTTGTAATTTTAATAACGCTTTATAAAGATAAAATCATTGATGTGAAGGGAAGGCTTGTTTTTCAGTACAAAATTTTTCAAAATATGGTTTCATTGGTGATATCATTACTATCCTAGACTGTCACAGTACATTTCTAGGATTTATTGTAAAGGAAAAGAGAATATACAAATTCTAAATATATATGTACACACACACACATTATGGAAAGATAATATGTAGTTTATATAAAAGAAAACCAGCTAGTCCCTTTTGCCAGGGTGGCATTGTAGCTTTCTAATATACTCTCTGAAGTTTTTCAGAGTTTGACCTTTTTTGTGGATTTTCTTTCATGAACCTTTCTAGATTGGAAATGTATGGATCCCTTATGGATTCATAAAGGAATGGTTTCCACCATCCAAGAACACTAACATGGGCACTCAAGCTCGCTTTCAGCCAATCAGGAAGTACCCAAATTGTGTGATGGGTTCTGTGATGAATGAAAAGCCCTAGAGATAGAATTTCTGGATAATTAATAATCAGTTTATTCATTAGTCTAGGTAATAATAAATTAATAGTAAGTGGTTTCTCTCGGAAACCAAAGGCACCTAATGAAGACACTGAATGCCTTAAATATTTTTTTGAAAGGGAAGGCCCTTGACAGGAGAAATCAACCCTGATTGGTGGACATTTAAATGAGGAGGTGGGCTAAAAAGTTTTCAGCTCCTTCTGCTGAGGTGGCTTGGTCATGAGACTCAAAGGCATCTAGCAATCTGGACCTCAAAATCCATCTCCACCCAGAACAGATTGGTTTTCTCCTTCATGAGCTGGGTCACTCTAAACTCCAGTGGAGCAGTGTAAGGGCATGGGCTTATTGCTTTGCTGCAGGAATTTACCTAGATTAGATTCTCTTTACACTCTAAACAGAAGTAAGGTCTTCTAGTTGGGTGGGATCCTGCCCCAGATTGAGGAACTGGATTCTGAAGGATTAGGCCATCTCATCTATCAGCCATGTCTTTCAGTAGCTGGCTAACCTACTAGGGTTGGAACCTAAATGAGGAAATAAAGAATAAAAAAAATCCTAGTTTAATAATTGGTTGTTAATACAATAGAAAATAATTTCTCTCAGCTCTGTAATGTTCCTCCACCTTCCTATTTGATTCCCATCAAATTATTCAACTCTTTTTTTCTCTTCAATGGAAAAAAAAAAAAACACTAAAAATCCAAGAAAGTAGGAACCAGCTATAATGTTCCTATCTCCCCCCACATGAAACACACTCCCATTCTGAAAGTACACAAAGATGAACCCCATCCATCACATCTACCTTGGAATCTTTTGTGTTGACACAGAAGAGACTTTGGACTTTTGGGAAAGACTAAATTAGACACGAAGTAGGCTTGTTTTGTCAAACATTATGTGGCATGTATTGCAATGTCTACATACTAATGGTGGAACTTTAAAAAAAATTTTATTTATTTTATTTCTAATTTAAGAAATAAAAGAAGCATTTCTATAACAGTGAAAAAAGATGATTGTACATGAAACTGCAAATCTATTATATACAATTTGCTATTCCTTTTAAATATATAATAAAGTTATCTAAATTTCTTTTTATTTCCTTTTTTCCTTTCCCCCACCCTAGAGATGACTACCATTAGACACAAATATAAATGTATGTGTATGTGTGTGTGTATATATATATATATATATATGTAAAATCATTCTATACATACTTCTGTTTATCAGTTCTTTCTCTGGATGCAGATAGCATCTTCCTTCATATGTCCTTTGTATTTAATTTGGATATTTATAATAGTCAAAATGACTTAGTTGCTCAAAGTTGTTCTTAAAACAATATTGCTGTTACTGTATACCAACAAGTTCTCTACCCTTTTCCCCCAGCCCCAGTGGCAGCACCCAAGGGGAGGTCTTCCCCAGCCTGCGTCATCCAACACTAACCTTTGAAGCATTCCTCTCCTGGTTTCCTGGGGTCTTCTCTCTGACACAACTGATTTTTATATCAATTACTAGTATTATTTTCACATCATGAATTAAAGATTTGATTTGAGGACTGTTTTCCTGATGCTTCCAATGTGACCAACATTGCTAGTTATGTTTGGTACTTGTCAGTAGGATGTCATGTACTGAGCCTTGGCTGGCACATTCCATTTAGCCTGGAGTTCCTCAACAAATTCCCCATTTTTTATATTCACCAGGATTCATGTCATGGTAAAACAGATTGTACATGCTGTGAGCACAAACTAGCTATGTGGGATGTTTAAAGTACTTCCTTTGCTTTTCCTGTACTCATTAGCTAGACCTCTGGCAAGCTACCCCTTGCTTTGACTCTGATTTAGTTGTTGGGTTGGGAGGCTGGGGATAGTTAAGTAGGTAATGAACCTCTTTTCCACGTGCCTCATTTCACAGATGAACTGGACCCTGACATTTTTAGTTCCCCATCAGTGGAGGTCATCAGGCAGAGGTTGGATGACCTCTTGTCTAGGGTTCTAGAGAATGTATTTCCACTGAGGTAGATGGGCAGACCAGATGATCTGAGGTCCCTTCCAACTCTTCTTGTACTTTGGCTGTGATTCACAACTAGTGACTAAGTAATAAACGCCTCTTTTGGTAGGTTGGCACAGTTTGGTGGTAGATGGTAGGTGCCTCCTTGAGAGCCATTTGAATTACCATTTCAAGTTACCTGTATGCCGGTTTATTTTCAAGAATAGTTTATGCTTAAAGAATTCTTGAGGAAAATGAACACTTGGGTATTGTTTTCTTTTGATGTGCAGTGCCACACATGGGTTGCATGTTTGAGAGGGTGATCGTTGGCTGGGGAGGTGAGTTGGCCTTTCTGTTGGTATGAGGGAACTGTACTCCCAGACTAACTAAGTCATTGATATTTATTTTGAAGGGAATATGGGCACAGTTACACAAATCTTTAATATCCGGATCAAATCCTGTTGGACTGGTTTGCTAGAGAAGCAGGCAGCAAGTACTCCCTGGTTGGTCATGTGGGTATTTATAAAGTGTTAAGAGTCTGAGGGTAATGAAGCACTTGAGTTCTGTTTTCTAAGGAGCAGTGTAGAGGTTTTTAAAAACCCTCAGGAAAAGGACTGCATCTTTTTTTTCTCCTAACCTGTTTTGTGGCGTATTCTGAAAATCACTGGCCCTTACTGACTGTTCCAGTTTTTAATTTTGGATGAATCTGCTTTTTTTCTTTCTTTTACACAGTTATCTCACATTTTAACTATGTAAATGAAAATATTTCTAAAGAATAGATGAGCCCTACAAATCAAAGTCACTGTAGAGCTCTGAGGACCGCATATATCTCAGTGTTCAAGTATTAAGATATTGGTATATAGTGGAGCTTGGATTAGACTGTTTAAGGAACTTCTGAGCATGTGCAGGATCACATTGGCTTCTCGCTTGGCATTAATAGGACCCAGGGTTTGCTCCAGTTTCCTGACTACTGAACTCTCTGGCCCTGCATTTTGGATTCAGTCAAAGGGCTGCACTTGAGGACTTAGAGGGCCACATATGGCCTTGAGGCTTCAGGTTCCCCTC